CCGTGCCAGCAAACGTTATGCAGCCGAACTGAGAAGACTTATAAAGCGGCGAGAGGCCATCTCAAGTGTCTCGCCGTACCTCGTGGCTGTGGTTGGCTATGCTCAAGAATGGATCTACGAGAATGGAGTTCTATGCTACATCCGTGAACGCGAGCTCCGGGTGCTGGATTTGCACCGATCGGCCCAAAGTGAGATGGTGGTCTCTATCCGCGGTCTTCTGGATGAAGCTCTGGTGGAGTCTCGACAAAGCACAAGATACAGATTTCAGCTGTTGTACTGCTCCCACAACATAATCTCGTGCCTCTACACCCACCACATTTCTCGTCGGATGAACTGGATCGTTGTGTTCAACGCCAAGGAGCACAAAATTGTCACAGTCCGCCAACTCAGCACTGCGTACAAAATCTTTGTGCGAAACAACGACAAGTTCTTGTACTTTGGCACATACACCGAGATTGGGCCGCAGGGCGACAAGAACTGGATACTCAAAGCCTACGACATCAAGGCCGAGCACTGGATCGAGGGATCGTTCGTGCTGACCGACTTTCTTGGGTCCGACATCGGCACCACGGTGTGCTTCGAGATACTTGGAGACCATTTCTACGGTCTGTCCAATCGCCTAGATCCTGCCGTGGAAGAGAAGGATTGGACGGGTTACTACACGTGCTTTCGTTTTTCTCTGGACCCCACAGGATTTCGTAACGTGGAGAAGGTTCCACGAGAAAGGCTGTGGCGGAGACAGCACACCGATGGCCCAATTGACGAGCGGTGGTCGTTTATCAGACTCTTCAAGGACGAGACTACTTCGCAGCTCAAAGTGGTAGAGGCGAGAAAAGAGTGGCTCTCAGGACAGAGCTCGGCGAAAAGAACTTATTACACCAAAGAAATTTCCTTTGAAGATGAGACGCCTGGAAGCAAATCGGGTACGGATCTTTGCAATTCTGATAGCCAGTCAGGAGCTGGCAAAGTCGACCAAACTCTCTGCAGAGGACCTCCCTCCAGGGACCCTCACATGGTGCATGTTGGAGATGATGCATCCAAAAGCTTGATGTTTACAGCAAGCAAATGCCCACTTCGTTCGTATCACTCGTCTTGCCAAACATTTATTGATCTGGTCGACGACCCGGCCAGTCTTGACCCGGAGAAACAACGAGTCCGCATCCGTGGGGGCTCGCGGCGTCGGTGGACACCCGTGGAGCTTCAGCAACGCAAACTTTTACAAACATTAGGGACTGACCCGTCCCAACATACGTTAGACCAGAAGATTGAGGATATTTTTAAGCACGAGGACGTTATTTTCTGGCCCCCTGATGAGGACCCTTCACAGCCGAACCCTGCCTTGTCACAGCTCTACCAAGTCCTTAACCCACCAAGCTACTCGGGGAACATTGATGGGGTCTGGGATGAAAGATCCATGCTGTATGCCACGGGAGGGTCCGTCAAGGCTCTGGTGTTCATATCCTGGGACCCTGCACTATACCTGGATGGTGTCGTGCAGTATCCTGATTTGCAGTCCTTTGCATCAGTCTCACCAGATGCAGAAACGCGCTCGAGCAGCCATCTCGGACTTTCAATCCCCGAGTTGTACAAGCGACAGCGGAAATCGGAAGATGACCATAACGAATGGGGGCCAGACTTGGAGCCCAACGTCACGGAGCATCGGGACACAAGCAATGAGCTGGGCACGTCAGCGTCAACCACGGATGCCCATGATGCGAAATGGAGAAGTTTCCAACGCCCGAATTATCGGAACTACGCTTCAGGCTACCATTTCGCACATTTGAGACTGTAGCTTGAATGATGGGGAGATGGACGGATCTCGTCCGCCAGCGGGAGGTGGCATGTGCGCCCCTGATTGCTGGCTACGATGCGATGCACACCTCGGCAGCAAGACATCTTCCCTATCGACATGGCAACGTGGCATGCATGGATGATTTTGGAGAATGAAATGTGCAGTAGCTGGAATTGCAGATTAGAGAATCATGAATATCAACCCCCGATGAGGCTGTCGGGCCAAGACGGGTAATAAACAGATCAAAAATACCAGTGTTGCAGCCAGCCCTGCTTTTCTCCCCTGTACCAAAGTCTTTAGGAAAAGCTCTGTAGCCACCAGTCGGTTCAGCTGGACGAATAAGCACATTACCCCTCCCGCGGTTCCAGCATTCCCGAGTCTGCTGGATCCAGTCACTTACTATGGTTTCCGCCCGGTTAGTTAGCAGGACGAATACCCCCTCACCATACGACCACTGCACATCAAATTCCAATTACTGCTTTGGTTCCCGAGCTATTGGTTTGAGCGTTGTGAAGTGCGTCTCCGGATCGAACTTTCCGGTGGACTCTTGCATCTGACAAGCACCGAATGGTCCTCACAGCACATCAGAAAAACACTTCACTTCCCATTACACCGTCTTATCGTCCCATTTACCTCGGTTTGCTCAATAAATGCATGGCTTGAGTTGAGCTATCGACCCAGATACTGTCCCGGCTCAGAGAAGAAGGCCGAGGCATATGTAGATGCTCCGGCCCATGTGTTAATCTCGGGCCCCCGCATTCTGTACCTTGTGCCCGGAATACCAGATGAGGACAGAATTGGTCAGGTGCGGAACAGAAGCTGAGATAGTCACTTGGTTGTGTTACGAAAAGAGCTCAATAATGAGGAATCCAATCCTTCTCGCCGTTACACCTCACATATTCCCATCGTGAGCTCGCTCGAAGTCACCGCCGCCTTTCCCGCCGGGAGACCACAAGATTTACTTGATAATAGAATCCCTTCTTGATTCCTACCACAGAGCCCTCACCAGATATCCTGAAACGACGCCCAGCTGTCTTTCTGGTCGTGCATATCTCGGCATGCGAGGTAGAGATACTGATACGAGATTATTGGCCCTGCAGAAGCGGTAATGAACAAAGGGAAGAAACTAAGTTTATAAATCTGAGCCGCGTCAGAGACTGTCGATGTTGCATTGCAGAAAGCCAAACGGAAAAGGAAGGGAACCAACAACGGCCGCAGGGTGGGTGGGTAGGGTAGCAGCTGTGTGTGGGTTTGGATGAACTCACACATCAGAGCCCAAGCAAGCATATGGAAGCTCCCATCGTCTGCGTCGTCGGCCCTTCTTACATTTACACAGACATACCGACATGAGAGACAAGGGTAGCTCGGCAGACACTTTCTTGTTACTCAGAGGGATTATAATCGCGCCATAAACGCACCATCAGTAGCACCCTTAGTCCGGGATATCGCGGAAACGCTGGATTATAGTTGTTACACTTCATGTGATACATAGTATTCTCATGTCGACAACTTGGATGAACCTTGCTACGTATCCGCGAAGAGGCCTCCCGGCAGACATTCGGCAGCTTCGATTCGATTGCGCCAGGGTGTGACAAGAGTTCTTTCTCGTCCCTCGCATGTAAACAAATGTTTGACTTCCCCGCTGCTGTCGCCGTTGAATCTCGAGAGCCTTGCGCCACATTGCATGTTGGAGGATCCGATCACCCGAGAACTGAGACGATGAACAATAGACTCGGAATATTCTATTACTGACTGACCTAGTGTTACTAACATACTCAGCTCAGTATTCTAGTCAAGCCCCCTCCCTCTGCTTGAGCCGCCCGGCCCCATCTACCAGTTTGTCCTTTGGCTTCAATACTTTGGTCAGTTGTTTGAGAGCACTCATTCATTCTATCGACTGGATCTCACCTTAATCAGAACTTCACGACGTTGATATCTTAGCGAGAAAGCCGCGGGTGCCAATTCTCGCATTTCTTGCCCCCTTTTGCGAGGTTCAAACAAATCGATGCTCTCCTGCCTGCCCCTCATATTCGTTTTCACCCCTTTTTCTTCCGGAGCAAAGTCCGCATCCAGTCGTAAACCTGACCGCGATATCTGATTGGTCACTCTCCCAATATACATAAGCCAGGCAGGGACATCATTGAAATTCGTGCAAGTCTCATTGTAAATGACTTTCTAAATTTGGTCCACCCTGTCTTTTATTTTCCAAATTGTTGGAATGAGTTGCTTAAATTCGGTATCCTTTTCTTCTCTTTTCCCCTACAAGCACGTTCACATCCTTTGCTATCACCATCCTTAACCTACCTTGCCGATGTACCTGCCACGCTGGCGATCATAGGGGTCTTTCACAGCCGCCTTCACATTTATCTCACATGACGCCCACCCAATATGTAGTGGGACGGCTAAGCTTAGTCCACTTCATCATCCAGTTCGGCTGTCGTCGTTTATTTATAGGGTGTGGGGTGAAAAGAGGTATTTGCACTTTCCAGTACATGTAGCAGATGCGGCAGCGTGGGGGTAGAAGTTCGACATGGCAGGTTCCGCCTGGCTTTCTGCACTTTTTGCGACATGAACCTTTGTATGAAATGTTGTTTATATGCACCTCTTCCTTCCGAGCACGCGGGACAACATGATTCTAACTTTATTTGATATAGACTGCATTTGCCAAACATTGATGAGCCTCATTTGTGTGTGGGGGCGGGAAAGGTGAAGATCTTGGTTCTTGGATGTCAGTTGGCGACTTTGGAGAAACTAGGTATCTTGAAGGAATGTGCGACAACTGGATTCAGTTTCTTTCTTGGGAAAGGTAACAAGTTTGAGAATCAACAAGCTCACAACAGGTGTTGTCTATCACGTACCAGTTCACCTGGGATGCACATGGGCACATTACGGTCTCTCTTCTGACCAGATAGAACTGCTGACATCGATCAAGGACCTCCTCAGCGTCCTGGTATTGACCAAACCAACTTCCCACCTGCTTATAGGAATACTGATGTATATATCCGTGATCAGAAAACGACTTTCCTTTAACGCAAAGGAATGAGGAAAAGGAAAAGGAAAAAGAAAAAGAAAAAGAAAAAGAAAAAGAAAAAGAAGCCCAATACCCGGTCGTGAATAACAGAAAGAAGAAAGAAGAAAGCTGTAAAAATGATTATCATTGCTCCAATAACAAGCATGAGCAATGAGCTTCATTCCATGTCATTCTAGATGCCCCCACGCCGGATTGAACGACGGACCTCAGCATCTCCTCCGCCACCGCCAGACCTCACATCTGGAAGAGGCAGGTATGTACAAGTGCTGCGCTCTACCACTGAGCTATAAGGGCTTCTTCTTTGACTGGATTCTTGCTTATTTGTGGCTTGCTTCGGGAAGGTTATACCAGGCTTTTCTTTTAAATTTGTTTCAAGATGAAGAACTACCGAGGGATAGAGAAACCTTAAATATTTAACGTACGTTCACGTTGATTGTATCCTCCTTACCTCATATGACCTATTATTCGACTCTCATCTGCTGTTGAACAAACGACTTATTGGTAGTGGAGTAAAAATATGCCAACGCTGTAATATTCGCCCTCCGTCTGACATTCCCTCCGAAAATCGACAAATCAACCGTTTAATTACGAGCCTCAAAGCTCGACAGTAACCGAATAATCGGTAAACATGCCCGGCAAGTTACGATGGCCCGCGACCTCAGCCTTCTCAACCTCATCCCTAATCTCCCGGACCTCCTTCTCAGAGAGACGAACCTCAAGCGCCGTGACATTCTCCTCCAAATACCTGATCTTCTTCGTCCCAGGGATGGGAATGATATCCTCCCCCTGCGCCAACAACCAAGCAAGTGCCAGCTGGCCAGGCGTACAGCCCTTCTTATCCGCAAAAGTCCTGAATCGATCAACAAGAACCAGATTCTTGCTAAAGTTCTCGGGCTCAAAGCGCGGCAGTCTGCGACGGATATCGCCGGCTGCAAATTCTTCTTCGGGATTCTTGATCTGGCCGGCTATGAAGCTGCGACCTAGTGGCGAGTAGGCAAATACCGTGATGCCCAGCTCGCGGCAGGTGGCGAGCAGGTTCGTGCCCGTCTCGTTTTCGATGTCCATCTGGAACGGGTTATACTCGACTTGGACAGCGTCGACGGGGGCGATACTATAGGCACGTCGGATACTGCTCGAGGCGCATTCTGAGAGGCCGATGGCTTTGATTTTCCCATCTCTGGTAAGGTATTCAGGTAATCAGTTACGTTTTCCGGTTGGTGTGACTTTAGAGAGATTCGCTCTTTACTTCTTTGCCTTGGCCAGCAGCTCCATCGTCTTCTCGACGGGCACATTCGGGTCCAGACGGGCAACATAGTAGAGATCGATACACTCGATGCCCATCTTTTGCAAACTGCCCTCGAGGCATTCGCTAAAGAACTGGGGGCTGTTGTCGGCCGAGACTTTCCACTCGCCCTTGTCGTTGATTTCGAATTTGACGCCCAGCTTGGTGGCCAGAAAGATGTCGGCGCGTCGCTCAGGGTGAAGCTTGAACCACCTTCCGAGCAGCACCTCGCTGTCGCCGTAGCTGCTGGCTGTGTCCCAGTTTGTGTAGCCAAGTTCCCAGGCCCGGTCGAGAAGTGCCAGGCGCTCTTCATCGTCACTGGGTGAGTATCAGTACTATGGTCTTTCAGTCAGGGGATATAAGAATAACTTACCCGGTTGGTCCGTAAGCTGCACTCAGGCTCATCAGCCCAAGGCCGAGGGCGGGGACCTGTCGTCCTGTCTTGCCGAGAGGTTTGGTCCGCAGAGATGCTGGAGGTGCCATAATGGGCCAACAAATGAGCTGAAGAAGACAGAATGAGAGTCAGATGCTGTGCCAGTTACTGGACTCGGTAGGGAGACATCAGGAGAATTGAAAATGAGCTGGAAACAGCCATCTTCCTGCTTTTATAGTTTTTTCATCTCTTCAACCATTGCTAGGTCCTCTCTGATTGGGAATTGAGACTCATTGCCGGCTATTACACACACTCTTTGGCCAGCTCCAAGACGACAACGATCGAGCAGCGGCCTAATAAATGTCTCTAAAATGTTGGTACTGTCCATGCTTGTTGATGTTCCATGATAAGCCGATGGCAAGACCGTGCTGTCAGGACAAATATGCCCGGAACTTTTTCCAAACCTAGACTGGTTGCAACCTGCACAACCAACGGCATAAAAAGAGAGGCTTTATTCGCTTGCCCCTGACCCGTTCTCCCAGCTGCCCGATCCTCATCAACGCCTTATCTCCGGGTCCTAAAGCCGCAAAGACAATTGACATCGACCAAGGGAGTGTTTCTCAGGCCTAACTCCGAGTCTAGCGTCAACACACACATCAATGTCTGTTCTCAATCGCATTGGTTAATTCTGGGTTCCCCCAAATGTAATAAATAACCCCTGCCCTGGGCGAATCTGATTGATACCAGGCCGATGAAGATAGAAGCAAAGCCCAGACATTGACCTGACAAAACAAGATGATCGTAGTCATGGTCTCAACTGGGCTCCCTTGATGTTAAGGATGTCATAGTGAAAGGAAGGGTAAAAGCTTTGGTGACGCAAGCTTGGAAGCGAGAAATGTGACTGCGGACTTCGCAGTCGCTCACTTACTGTCTTTACAAAATAGTTCACAACACAGTCCACGATGGGGCAGCTTTCATGAACAGGGCAGGGCATTTCTTGCCAAAGCACTAAACTAATATACGGCTATCAAGCGCCAGGGCTCATCAAGACGCCCGTAGAGAATGAAAAACACAAAGCTAACAAAACCCAGCTGTTGCAAGTCTGTATCTCTTGCTTTGCTGAATAAAAATCCTCGTAATCCAATGCCGTTTCCCATGTCTCGACTAACAATAGAATAAACATACCAAAAAGCTAACCCTTCGGTTACAAAGTCATGTGCTGTACTCAACCTATTCTAGCAATACATGCTATGATCAACCCTCCAAGAAACGAACAAGCTATGTGGAATATCCATGCTCTGTCCTGGCCAGGTTTCCGCCAAAATCATGGCGTGTATAAAGCAAACAAATAATATGATCGCCCAGTCCTTGTCATCTCGACATGTCTCGGTGACATAATAATGTGACGTTGAGCAGTCCCCTTAGATCATTACTTAGGTTTCTTGACTGTTCGTCTCGGTGCAATCTAGCTTGCTTGGGTTGACACCAGGTCCTCTCCATCCGCCTTCTTCTCTTCTGTGTTGCTGGACTCAGCCTGTTGCTTTGCGGGAACTTGCGGTTTGGTTTTCAGGAGATCGCTGCAGCTCTCCTGTATCTTCGCCCTGAACTCCTCTCTCACAGAATCTCCTCGGGACCTCTTCTCGGCGGCAGCAGCGGCAGCCGCATTGGCTACCACGGCTTTGGCTTTCTCAACAATTTCCTTCCATGCCGGGTTCTCGGTCTTTTCGCCGGCATTGGTTGTTCCCTTTGCAGTCAGTCCAGCTTGCTTCATCTTGTGTTGCCTGACAACGCGGTTCGCCTGTCTAATTTTGCATTGAATATGGTATCCTGGTTCATTGGCCTTTCTCCATTCCAGGTACGCTTCGTATTGTTGCTGCTTGACAGGGTCATGGTCCCGCGGTTTTTGAGTCACCGGAAAGGGTGGACCAACTACATTTCTATCTGTCCCAAACACAGCCGCCAGTGGCTCCCCAGGACCAGGAAGTGCAGCCAAATTTGAAGGGCCAGGCAATGTCTGATTCTGGTTGAAGGATGGCGGAAGCGGCGCAACGGGTAGTGCCATGTTTGGAGGTGGCAAAGTGCCAAACGAGTTCATACTCGGAAGACCCATCTGAGTCCCTAGCAATGGAAAAGAATTGAGGCCATTCGATGAAACTGTACCAAAACTGTGCATAGGACCAGAAATTGTGGGCAACATCGTAGAGTAGGGTACAGCGGAGTTCATGTTCAGTGTTCGTGAGAAGAGGTCGACCGGTGGGTACACGCCTGGGAGCGACCCCGGAAGAAGACCGGACAATAGAGACACCTGAGATGTCCTGGGATCAAAATTTCCCAGAGGCGGGGGGTGCGGAAGTTCCGGTGCCGCCACGGGCGCAGGTTGATCATTGCCATGTGATGCCAGTCCTGTCTGTCGAGTGACCTGGGTTTGCGGAGCCACAGTGCCACTCGATACCGCGCCTGATCCAGATGGACGGCGGACTGGGGTTGAGACCGACTGTGATGGTATCGCACCCGCCGGTGCCTCAAAGAGTGAATCCGTAAGCGGCGGGCGAGATAGTCGTTTTGGCACAAGGAATGGCATATGGGCTGTCTCGCCGCTAAACCTGAACTCGGCAGCTGCAGGATTAAGCTTTTTGGTGTCTTCTTTTTGGCCCGGAACGCCAGTGTGTGCCGAAGTCTGAGTCGAAGCGTGATGGCTGTCTGCCCTTTGCAGGTTGAAACCCGTTCCGTAGCCAGAGTCATGCGAGTATTCAGGTTTTAGAAGCATCGGCGCACGCAGTGAACGACTAGGCTCAGAGGCCTCCTTCTGGAGGTCGCTGTTTCGAAGACTGCGTACTGTAACTGTGGCTTCCTTCACCTTTGCTGCAATGATAGCAGGGTCGCTTGATCGAACATCAAAGGCGGACATGGCAGGCTTATTGGATTGAGAGGGTTTATCCTCTTCCTTGTTCAAGTTGTTCAGCCGATCAATCAAGTGCTTGAAACGCTGCTTATCGGCCTCTTCCAATTTTGAACATTTGTGTGGAGGATATTCGGTGATCTGGATCAAGGGCTTGTCAGGCGTCGTTCCGCTGGCCTTCTTACGGGGCTGCTCCTGCCCCGAAGTTCCTTTCGCGTCATGGCTGAGAAGATCCTTGAGATCATCGGGGAGTTCGTCCAAGAGATTAGAACGTTGAGGAGACTTGGTGCGAATTTGACTGGGATCCCGCACCCGCTTCAGCTGTCCAAGGGTTCTCCTGGCGGAGTCCTCTGACGACTTATCAGACAAATACACCGGCGTGATGTCGAATGTGAACTTGGTTGGTAGCACGATCTGCTCGCCGTTGACATTCATCACCACCGGCTTTACATCTTTGAACTCGACATTGGTGATATCGGCAAGGCAAAGGTCCAGAAGCTCAGACTGTGTCAAGCTTGACGCGGCAGGTGCGGATGATATCATCTCCCATGGAGCTTGCTCGCTATTCGGGCGAAGGTACGTGACTGATTCTCCATTCAGCTCGTCCATCTCAATGATTGAGATGGACGAGTTCTCAGAGCTTGTTCTTTGCTCGTCCTCCTCTTCGGATGAGCGATGCTTGATCCGGGAAAGGTTTGACAGGGACGCCGTGGTTGCCGGGTTACGCCAGTCTGCAGCCC